GAAATTTTATTATGTCATATAAATAATTTCTTTTCCTTTACTCTAATAAATGTTTTGAAGAGAATTTGATTTCACTAGCTATCTTTTTAAGTTTTTGTCTGTCCGTCCACAATACAAACGTTCAACCATTATTTTTTCGCGAAATTTTCGCTATACTTTTTTCGCAAAATTTTTGCATTATTTTTTTTGCGAAATTTTCGCATTATTTTTCGCGAAACAGTTCTAATCGAAGTTTTGCGGCAAAAATTTTCGCATTTTTCGCGAGCAAACGAAATGCGAAAATGAAGCGAAATGGTCGCAAAAATAAAAATTTTCGCAAAACGAAATTTTTCCTTTTCGCTGGAAACCCTATTATCAAACGTAACTTTTATACAGTAGAGGTCTTCAAAAAAAAGGATTGAGAAGAAAATCAAATAAATACTCAGATTAAGCGAACGGGAATAAAGAAAATCCCATTCAGCTCTGGTTATAATGTAAAACCAGGGATTAAGCATTTTAAATTATGAAATGAAAGATAAGTAAAAAAACTTTCTTTTTTTAAAATCTCTAGTTTGACATTCATACAACTTTTTTTGCCAAATAAGTGATTTTTTGTTGAATATAAGCAATATTTTGATTGCGTAAATTAGAGTGAAACTTTTTTTGTCCGAAGGATTAAATCTTTTTCCTCTTGGACATTCTGTGGTTGGAACCCAGCAGGGATATGCAAAATCAAATTAAAAAAGTTAGACCTCAGTTTTCTAAATCTTAATCTTAATCTTAGTTGCCATAAACCATAATGTTATTATTCGTGTGTAACTTGAAGTTTGCGGTATTATATACAGAGAGAAGTTCTATGAAAACTTTTCCGCACTGTCAAACTTAGTATTAGTTCGGAATAGATAAATAAAGGAATACGTATATGTAGATTATTATTAAATCATTAGTTAGGATAACCAAATCTAACATTTAAGCATTCCAATTTAAACTTAAATACGATTGACATAAGCTCACATTTTAAACAGCAACAAATCAACCCGTGTTTTTTCTTCTGCAATTTAAATTCCGAATCTTTAATTCTAAAAAAAATTAAAAGAATCTAACTTTGTTGATTTGTTAATTAGTTAACAAACTTATTAAGAAAATGGGTCTATGTGTACACTAATGTGTTTCATCATAAATTTAGTTTAACGGTTGTCTTGTTATTCAACAGTTTTATGTGTGTGTGGGAATGCAAATATGAGCCCCGCGTGCGTGGAGTGGGGTAAGAGTAGCGGAGGCTTGGAAACGTAGCGTGAGGCACGGAGATGTTTGTGATAGGCTAGGGGGTCATTTTGTGAATAAGGAGGCTTAGGAGGTGAGTTCAAAGAGCTCATGGTTGCGCTTTCCCCTTTCTAGTCCTACTGTATTTAAAACTGTAGAAAAAGGAGGAAATTATAGCTTTATAAATCTTTACTGACGACTCTCAACGAAGTTTATGAAAAACAAAAACTCTCCTTCTTACTTTATGCTTTCTGATTAAAAAGAATTTAAAAGAAATATTCTCGAAACTTCATCTTTAATTTTTGTTCAGAATTTTGCTTTAATCCAAAACCCATTAGCCATTAGGGTCTGTGTAAACATCCACATTACTTTAAGGTATATATCCGAGGCCAGTATTAAAGAGGGGGGGGGGGTCAAATAATATTTACACTCTGTCCTCCAAGCACTCATTTCTTCTTTTTATCTATCTTGAACTAATACATTTTGTCTACTAAATCCTTCTTTGATGTATTATCAGCCAATGGGACTGCACATATATACATACACACATGTTTTACGCATTGTAATTAATATATATATATATATGAATATTTTTAATTAAACTATTTTTAGCCGCAAGTTTAACGCGTTTTTTGGTAGTATAGAAGCGATTATTAGTCTCTTCATGTTTAAAGATTTGTAATCGCTTATTTGGCAGCCAACCAACTTTCACTACCAAAGCGATTTTTGATTGCTTAATTTGATTTTCAAATTTGTATTCTAACAAAACAATGATATCGCCATCATTCTTTAAACTTCCTGAAGAGGAATGCAGTATCGTCTTTATTTTTCTTGCTTTGTTGAATAAAATTGTATATAAGACTTATCTTCAACTTTCTCATGAGGTATCACTAAACTAAATAAAAATTGTTTATAAAAACCATCACGAAATCGTCAATCTATTCTTATTTTAATTGGGACACCCTGTAGCACTGAAATATAGACATCTCTAGAACTTAGTCATTGGCATTTGGTTTTACTCTAACAACTCACTTATACTTTTTTGTAGTCCTAGACATACACATTTTAATAATGCAACGCGCTTGGTTCTGGCTTAAGCTTAAAAGGATTTGTTGTCAAATTACTTCTCGATTTTTTGTTGGGAGCAGCTGTACATCTGCGTTTACAGTGGTTTGTAATCATAAATATGTATGTTGCCTAAATAAATTAGATCTAATTTATCTAGGGTATGTTGTTTTAATAAAAAGAAAAGGCCCTTGAACATTTTTCTTATATTTCTATCTTCAGAGAGTTTTTTCTCGTTGTTTATACAAACGCTGTTAAAGATTATACCGACTTTACCCGAGGCCAGAGCTGAATTGTGGATATCGAGATCAATGCTTGATTTTCTCTTTTTGTTAATCGATTGGGTTTATTTTTAGTGTGTAACCAAAACCTGAGCATGGAGAGCAGGGGAGAATTGTTAACATGAACATGAAGAACAGGGGAGAGTTATAAACATGAACATGAAGAAGAGGAGAGCTTTATAGACCTCAGCATGGAGAGCAGGAGAGAATTATAAACCTGAACATTTAGAAGAGGAGAGCTTCATAAACCTGAGCATTGAGAGCAGGGGAGAATTATAAACATGAACATGAAGAAGAGGAGAGCTTTATAGACCTCAGCATGGAGAGCAGGAGAGAATTATAAACCTGAACATTTAGAAGAGGAGAGCTTCATAAACCTGAGCATTGAGAGCAGGGGAGAATTATAAACATGAACATGAAGAACAGCAGAGAATTATAAATCTGAACATTAAGAGGAGGAGAGCTTTATAAACCTGAGCTTGGAGAACAGGGGAGAATTATAAACATGAACATGAAAAACCGGAGAGAATTAAATACCTGAACATAGAAAAGAGGAGAGAATTATAAAACTGAACATGGAGAACAAGGGAGAATTTATAAACCTGAACATGGAGAACAGGGGAGAATTATAAACCTGACCATGGAGAACAGAAGAAAATTATAAACCTGAACATGAAGAACGGGAGACAATTATAAACCTTAACATGAAGAACAGGAGAGAATTATAAACCTGAACATGGAGAACAGGAGATAATTATAAACATGAATATAAAGAACAGGAGAGAATTATAAACATGAACACGAAGAACAAGAGATAATTGTAAACCTGAACATGGAGAACAGGAGAGAATTATAAACATGAACATGAAGAAAAGAAGAGAATTATAAACCTAAACATGAAGAAAAGGTGAGAATTATAAACCTGAACATTTAGAAGAGGAGAGCTTTATAAACCTGAGCATGGAGAAAAGAGGAGAGAATTATAAACCTGAACATGGAGTCCAGGGGAGAATTATAAACCTGAACATGGAGAAAAGGGGAGAATTATAAATCTGAACATGGAAACGAGGAGAGAATTATAAACCTGAACATAGAAAAGAGGAGAGAATTATAAACCTGAATATGAAGAACAAGGGAGAGTTTTGAACTTGAAGATTGAGTGGGACAATTTTGAACCTGAACATAGAAAACAGAATGGAATCATTAACCTGAACTTGGACAGCTTAGGTTGTGGTTCATGGTTTCTACTTGAAATACATTAACTCTGAATCTCAATATTGAATTATACATTTGCACTGCAGCTCAATATAACCTAAACACACTTTAGAGTCTGAAAGCATATTAAAATCATTTGAATTTTTTTAAAAAAGGACCCCCAGGGTTAATATGTGGTCCTGATTTTTTTATCAAGTGTCCTTTTGATGTTTTTATACGCGGCGCAAAGAAACAGGGAAAAAATAACATACCACCCCAATTTGGATTTTGTGGCACCAATACTTTATCATTTTTAAAAATGCAACAATCTCGATAGAAAAATCAAGGAAACAAAGTGTATTACAGTCTTACAGAGCAGCATGAAAAATAGCGAGGTGAAGAGCAACAGTTAACATCTAAAATAACAACTATAGTATTTTATAATCTTATTTTCAAAAGAATGAATTTCAGAATATCTAAGTTTTGTAAAGCAATAATATAAATCTAATTTCAACTAGGATAAAATGAGACAAGAGACTGGGGTAAAAATATGATAACCCCGCTTAAGCATATTTTCTTCGTATTTTCATTATTAATGTTCAGGCGTCACTTTCTCTTTTGTTTAAATTCCTGCATTTTCCAGTTTTAAGTTTAAAATACGTTTTGATGGGTTCATAAATATAGAATGAGGAGCCAACTTTATATCAAAATCGTTTCATGAAAACCAAAACACGTGTATAAAAGGCCTCTTTAAGGTGGAACTTAGGCTAAACCCCACCCACAAAGTTGTAAAAAAATATGAAAAAAGCTAACTTGAACAGTTCAACATGTGCCAGTATATACCCTTATTAAACCTTGAACAGTTCAAAATGTGCCAGTATACCCTTATTAAACCTTGAACAGTTCAACATGTGCCAGTATATACCCTTATTAAACCTTGAACAGTTCAACATGTGCCAGAATAAACCCTTATTAAACCTTGAACAGTTCAACATGTGCCAGAATATACCCTTATTAAACCTTGAACAGTTCAACATGTGCCAGTATATATCCTTATTAAACCTTGAACAGTTCAACATGTGCCAGTATATAACCTTATTAAACCTTGAACAGTTCAACATGTGCCAGTATATACCCTTATTAAACCTTAAACAGTTCAACATGTGCCAGTATATACCCTTATTAAACCTTGAGGGCAAGTTTGTTTGTTTTAGAAAACATGTTCAGGCCATTTGTTTACGGCATTGATATGATATGAAAAAGAAGATGGGATGAGGATGAAAATGAAAGTGGCATGAGGAGGAAAATGAGGATGGATGATGATGAAAATATGGAAGGTATGAGTATAAAAATGAAGATGGGATGTGGATGGATGAAAAATAGGTTGAGGATGAAAATGAAGATTGAATGAGGATGAAAATGAAAATAGGATGAGGTAAAAATGAAGATGGGATGAAGATGAAAATATGGATGGGATGTGGATGGATGAAAGATAGGATGAGGATGAAAATGAAAATAGGACGTGGATGGATGAAAGATAGGATGAGGATGAACATGAAGATGGGATGAGAATGGATGAAAGATAGGATGAGGATGAAAATGAAAATAGGATGTGGATGGATGAAAGATAGGATGAGGATGTACATGAAGATGGGATGAGGATGGATGAAAGATCGGATGAGAATGAAAATGAAGATGGGATGAGGATGAACATGAAGATAGGATGAGGATGGATGAAAGATCGGATGAGGATGAAAATGAAGATGGGATGAGGATGGATGAAAGATAGGATGAGGATTAACATGAAGATGGGGTGAGGATGGATGAGAGGAAGGATGAATAGAAAACAAATGTTCTCCGATAAAGTATAATAATTGCTGAGAAGGTTGAGGTGGGAGAAGATGGGTCACTAATTCACAAACTTCTATAGAAATTGGCAAATAAACAATATAGCGATAGTTTTTATTTGAAAAATGAAGGTGAAATAAACAGAATGTAGAAAAATGAACGTGAAATAAACAGGATGTAGAAAAATGAACGTGAAATAAACAGGATGTAGAAAAATGAACGTGAAATTAACAGGATGTAGAAAAAAAAAGAACGTGAAAGAAGCATGATGTAGGAAAAAGAACATGGAATAAGCAGGATGTAGAAAATGAACGTGAAATAAACAGGATGTAGAAAAATGAACGTGAAATAAGCAGGATGTAGAAAAAATGAACGTGGAATAAGCAGGATGTAGAAAAATGAACGTGAAATAAGCAGAATGTAGAAAAATGAACGTGAAATAAGCAGGATTTAGACAAAAACTAACGTGAAATAAGCAGGATTTAGAAAAACGAACGTAAAATAAGCAGGATGTAGAAAAAATGAACGTGAAATATGCAGGATTTAGACAAAAATTAATGTGAAGTAAGCAGGATTTAGACAAAAATGAACGTGATATAAGCAGGATGTAGAAAAATGAACGTAAAATGAGCAGGATGTAGAAAAATGAACGTGGAATAAGCAGGATGTAGAAAAATGAACGTAAAATAAGCAGGAGTAGAAAAATGAACGTGGAATAAGCAGGATGTAGAAAAATGAACGTGGAATAAGCAGGATGTAGAAAAATGAACGTAAAATAAGCAGGTTGTAGAAAAATGAACGTTAATTAAACAGGATGTAGAAAAATGAACGTTAATTAAACAGGATGAAGAAAAATGAACGTGGACTAAAGAGGATGTAGAAAAAATGAATTGACAGACAAATATATTTGTTCAGATCATGAATGGTTTTAAAGAATTCAGTGCAGTGATAACAGAAAACTCTTGGAACTATGTATGTAATTTAAAAATAACGTTATGAAATAAATATTGTGCAGTGTAAACAGACTCATTTCACTTAATCAGTGATTTAATAACTTAATAGTTAAACCTATTTTGCATTGTAGCAACATTAAATGCACTTCAGTATTGCTTTATTATCGTAGCGTACACATTACACAATTTGAGTGTGAACCAAGGTAATAGGTAATTAAGTATTTTAGTATCAATGCCAAGTAGGAACAAATTCTTTTTAAAATTTTTAAAAACCTCTTTTTTCGAATCTATTGTTCATCATTCACATTATTTTGTATAGTTTAATTTATTAATTATGAAAGAGTGTAAAAAAAGAATATAAAATTAAGTGTGCTGCGGGGAAAAGAAGAAAGCTCCCTTTATTTATCAATTACAAAAATCAAAGACAGGAGATTTTATGGGACATTTTTGGTACTCAATAATCTGTTGTATATCTAGCTTGTTAGCCTTAATTAAGTCGGCGAATATGGATTTAAGGGGGATGTTCATAAGCCACAATGATTTTCCCTTTATTTAACTTTGTAGTTTTCAGCCGATTAGATATAAGAATGGTACCGTGCAAAGCTGGTAAATCCGGCCGTATAAAGATAGTGTAGATGGGTACATTTAGCACGTCGAACAAAATAAAAACTGACAGGACAGTCATGGTACTTTAGCTAGAAATAACTGTAAGGTACCGAGGATAAAATGAGACTGGGATAGACTCCTCTTTCCGCTTCGTAAGTCTCTTGAACCTCGGTATATCAGCTCTATCAGCTCCTCGTCTCTTAGTCCTCGGTATATCAGCTCTTTCATGACTCCTTGTCTGTTGAATCTGGGTATATCAGCTCTATCAGCTCCTTGTCTCTTGAACCTGGATATATCAGCTCTAACAGCTACTTGTCTCTTGGTCCTCGGTATATCAGCTCTATCAGCTCATTGTCTCTTGGTCCTCGGTATATCAGCTTTATCAGCTCCTTGTCTCTTGGTCCTCGGTATATCAGCTCTATCAGCTCCTTGTCTTTTGGTCCTCGGTATATCAGCTCTATCAGATCCTTGTATCTTGAACCTCGGTATATCCGCTCTATCAGCTTCTTGCCTTTTAAACCTCGGTATTCCAGCTTTATCAGCTCATTGTCTCTTGGTCCTCGGTATATCAGCTCTATCATCTCCTTGTATCTTAACCTCGATAAGTGTGAAGAAAAGTAGTTTAAAAATCAAAATGGTAAATGGAGAAAATTCACCTTTAAACACTTTAGAAATATTATAATAATATAATATTATAATAGAATTTAATTACTTCATAAAGCCGGATTTAAAATAAAAAATCATAGAGTACCAAAAAAGTTGATTTAATAAATTTTGAAGTATCGAAAAACGGTTCAATGCTCATCTTTTGATACTTCTGTTTTGAAAAAATTGAAAAATCGACCTTCCTAATGATCAATGATTTTTAATTGGATTTTAAGTGAGTTATGGTTTTTTAAAATTATTTTTCTTTTGTGAATTTGCTTCTGTATAATATTCTTTTGAAAATTAATCCATTTGTTTGATATCTAAACAGTATAACAAATTTCGGAAACTTTGCGCGCAATATTTCAATTTGTTCACCAAACCCCTCCACCCCTCTGCAAAATATCATTAGACACTCCTGCATAGTCTTCGACTTTGGTGTTACCTCGCCAAGTCACTTATATTTTTTTGTAGCACTGGGCATGTAAACTGCAACGTTTTTGTTTCTAGATTAAGTTTAAAAAGAGTAATTGAGAAAATACTGCTTGGTTTTAGCATGAGAGCGTGCAGATCTTGGTTTGCAGTGACACCAACTGCGCAGAACTATATTTAAAGTTAAAAAGTTAAAATTCTGGTTTTGAGTATATTTTGTCAGTTTGGCAGTTTAACATGATTTAGAAAGCTCCCGGAGCTATAGTGTTGTGCAGTACACTTATATTTTCTAATTTAATGTTTTCGTTGATTTCAAGAAATTTTTTACATTTTTGCGACAGTCTTTTTAAAATTGCCCTGCAGTATCGCCAATCTAAAAAACAAAAAAGCTAAATTTATATTTAGAGGGTGTCTCTTAAAAACAGTAATTGATGCTAGAGCCTTGATAAATTCTGAACTAATTTTTTTATCAAAATTTTTTATAAGTTTCCACCCTTAAATTACAAGTTTTAATGATTTTTCAATCTTACAGGGACTGTAAGTAAAGGAGGTTTAAGCTTAAACCTAAGCACTCTAGGAGTTGATCGAGACCTATGAGTTTTATCTTATGATTTATATTTAACTTTGTAAAAATTATACCAAAACTTGTTTGGAATTTGGTATAATAATATAAGTTTTAAACAGATCATATTCAGCAAATACGCAGCCAATCTGATAACTGAGCCTAAATAACTATATTAACTATATGGAAACTTAGTCTTTCTTGATTAATTTAAACAATTGGTCTATATATTGTCAATCAAGAAAGATAGGCTATGTTTCAAGATGAATTTTAAAACCTGAGCAGCATCAAGAAGCATCCAGCAGCATGAAGTAGCATCCAGCAGCATCAAGCAGCATCAAGTAGCATCAAGTAGCATCAAGTAGCATCAAGTTTTTTTTTCAAAACAGTCTAAACTCTCTTTTCCAAAATATCTAAATATCTAAATATAAAACTGGACCCAAATCTTGAGATATATATACTTTCTTTCGTATTGGTATTCGATTTAAACATTTATTTTCCCGGAGCACTGAATTCAATTTAAATTATAGGCTTCTTGCACAAAATTGATATAATATTGTAAAAATATATGAAAGATTGCAATCTACATTTGTGAAATAAAATCAATTTGTTCAGCGCAGAGAAACTCACGAAAAATAATTTTTCTTTTTTGATTCAGAGCTTTTTCATGAGTTATTTTTCTAAACATTTGTCTAACCAAAACTGATGAAGGTATTCTTCTTTTTCATTCTAAAAATGATTATTTTCGATTGATGGTTCTGTAAAGAGATTTAAGATATAGAAGTATAGGGTGAGTGTCCGGCGTTGCCGAGGTTTATATTCATAGTTGCTCCCACCGTTTACCTGCGTTTGGTATTAAATCAGGATTTTGGGGAAGTGCCTCATGGCTGGCGTTACGCGAGTTAAAAAGTTTTAGCCTATGGTCACCTCCTGGCTACCAATGGGTTCCCTAAACAATCACCCAGCTTGGTATTGCGCCCATTTTCTATTTAAATTGTGAACATGTTCTTTTTGTTTACATTTAAAAACAAAGAAGAAAAAATTTTGCTGATTTTTAAAAAAAAAATTCGCGGATTTTCAAGAATTTTAAATTTTTTACAAAATTAAAAACCTTTAAAAGACATTTTTTAAAATTTTTTTCATTCATAAACCTTCCCTGTGGTCACGTGATGTCCCATAAAAATTTGGGCCCGATCGGTTCAGCCGTTTTGACGTTTTGAATTTATATATAGATACTCTTGGGTACCCAGCTTTGCCTTAAAACAAAGTTTCCTTAATAAGAGTCAACCTATTCAACTAAGAACTTCAAACCTAGCTACGCACAATCCCGTGGTTCTACAAAGTTCCCAAATCAAAATTTGTAGCAAATCGGTTAAGGGGTTCCTGAGTTATGATCGGACATACAAGCTGTCTAAATGTCTAATATTTTGCAAACTCGGGCAGGGGGGGGGGTGAGTCACCAATTTTCTTGTTTGGATTGGGTCTAGGGTTGGAGTATATCCCTGCAGTATTATATCTACTCCATAGATCTACAAATACCTATAAAGGAAAAACAAGCACTTGCTTGAATTATCTCAAGAAGAAAAACAAGGAATATAACGAATATGAAGCCAGGGAGGGAAGAAAGGGGGGGAGAGTGAGGGAATAGTTGAGGAAAACAAGGAATATAAAGAATACGAAGCCAGGGAGGGAAGAAAGGGTGGGGGAGAGAGAGAGGGAATAGTTGAGGAAAACATGGAATAATACAGGGTGAGTACAAAACTGAATTGTCGATGTTTTGGACCAAATTTTCTAAATTTTTGCTTTGTTCGAATTTTAGGTATACAAAATAAATTGCGCTAAAAACAATTTAAGCTAATTAGTTGAATTTTTATAGTCAAAACAGCTCTCAGGTTAAAACTTTGCTGATTTTTTTATATCTCGTTACATTTTTAATGAAATTTTACAAAGTTTTGGAAACATTAGAATTCACATTATCCCAAACATGTCATTGTTGCTAAACTACTTTGTGACCTTCTTTAGTTCTTATTAAAAAAGAAAACTTAATTAACTGTCAACACACAAAACTTCTTTTATATCAATTAAATCCTTTAGAAAAATAACAATAATAGATTCAAATCTTTAAAACTGATTTTAAAAGATACAAGATTGGAAGATATTTAGATTAAATTCTGTTTGTTTTTGATAAAGGTTTAATTCTCTAAACAAACAAAATTATTTGAAAAAATTTTTTAATAAAATGTACCAATAGGTCATTTTCAAAATTATTTGGTTATTTAGCTAACATTTATGTATTGAATACAAAACAATTCAAAGCATTCTTCATCAATACTTTTTCTGTTACAAGATTTTCAACTTGTTTAAAGAAAATTTCAACTTCAAGTTCCGATTTTCCTGCCTACATTTGCGGATTTTCAAAAGAAAATTATTTCAATAATATATCTTTTCTTTAACTTAACTTTTAATTGATATTAATAATTTTCTTTGCAAAATTGAAACATTTATTCCATATTTATTTTTCTAATTGTGTTATTTAATTTGTAGTCAAATAAGAAAAAATTGGAACTCCCTCTTGAATGTACTTCTAAATATTTTAGAAAAAGTAAAGTGAAGTATTTATGGCGAGTATTTGATTTCCTTTTCAAAATATTGATTATATTGAAATACNTGTGTTTGATCTGGTTTAGTTTAGCTTAGTTTTTGCTAGTTTGGTTTGGTTTAGTTTTTGCTAGCTTGGTTTAGTTTAGTTTTTGCTAGTTTGGTTTGGTTTAGTTTTTGCTAGTTTGGTTTGGTTTAGTTTTTGCTAGTTTGTTTTGGTTTAGT